GGAACTGTTCTGAATGTCTTTGTGATCAGGCCGTCCCAACTGCCTCCTTAACTGACTTCTAAATTTCAACCATGAAATGGATTGGTTGTCTGAACCCTCTAATTAATTTTCTAACTTCTAGATATAGTCACAGCCAGTAGAGCACTTTCTGAGGTACTGTGTCTATTATACAAGGTGAAAAATATATATGTTCAAACTATTTGCTCCCAGATCCTTGACAAATTACCTCAAATTCCTTTTCCTGTCATTTCTCCATATGCCTAACTTTTTTTTTCTTTTTCCCACCTTCAATAAATGCTTCTGCAACAGAAAAATATAACTTGTATTAAAGATATAGAAAATTAATCCTTAATCTAATAAGTTCTTAGTGCATAATTTACCTGCTTTTTACACTGTAAAACAGAAGAAAAGAGTTGGATTTGGGGACTAATGTGATTTCTTTGGTATACCATATTGCCGCACAATACTAAGGAGGCTTTTTCTTCCCTTCCTTGAAAACAAGTGGGTTTTGCTGTATGGTATGTTGTGCAATTATGTTTTAAATGTTTAGACTTTTAAAAACTGAATCAAGAAATATTAATTTTTAAAAAAAATTGAATCAAGAACTCATTTAAGTAGAAATAATTAAAAACTCAGTTAAATTTCTGGTTTACTTGATAGAAATAAGCAAATCATTATCCATTGTGGATTTTCATTTGCAATGTAGCCCCAAATCAAATGCAAGCACATTACAAATATATACTCTGAATCAAGGTCTGGACACTAGAGGTATGTAGTATTTGGGAGATTCAAGATTCTATGCTCATTTGAATGGCATAGGGGCCAGTGCCACACTGAGATAGCTCCTACCACAAAACCCAAGAATCCACCATAAGAAAAAGTTACAAATTGAAAACAGCACACATTGGGCAAAATACATCAAAAAGGATTTCTAGGCTACATTCAATTATTCGTTTTAGTGATTTCTTTTAGTTTTATGCCTTTTTAAACACTATTTTTTTTGTTGGTGGTGGTGGTGGCTCTCCCAGTAGCCCCAGCTGGCCTGGAACTCACTATGTAGACCAGGCTGGC